ACTTGAACTACGGCACAGCTTTATATATACTATTTAAGTTTGGGCTTGGGCTACGTTCAACCTTCAGATTGTTTACGTTAAACTCATTATAAAAAGATAAACTTATTGCTAATGTCATAAACTACGTCATCTTATTCGCCGACGGCGCATTTTGAACTTAAATCTTCGTTAAATTTGAATATTATCTCACATTCGCTTATCTTAACATTAAAACGCCAATTCTCGCCTGGGAAGAAAAGGAACGATTTTTGTTTTAATGGGTATCTATCTGATGTTAATATTTACGAAAAAGTAGATTGGTCTAGAAAGGGAAGGGCACATTCTCCAAAAATATTTTTGATATTCTTACAAACTATTGCTTGAATAAAAACATGTTGATGGAGTTCTAAGTGATTTAGTATGAACACTCACATGATGAATATTGTTTGTTTTGTTTTTTGTTGTTGTTTTTCTGGGATATTTTATTATCTGCTATATATTGATATTCATATCAGAGCATTATCTCACGCTTGGCAACAAGTTCCAATGCTTAATTCTTTCCTGGTCTGTTGATATGTCTAATACTAGGTATGATCAACATAATTATTCATGCATTCTATGAAAGATCTTCTATAATTACAGACCAATCCACTTTAAAGTTTCCCTTCTTATTTCAGTTTAAAAAGTTAAACAACATAAAAGTAAACCATTGTATTACTATTTGGCTATTATAATACACAACCGATTCTAGACCAAGCCAGCCTAGTCAATTATTCTGATTGGTCACACCCTCGCCCTCTGATTTAGCGCAAGAAACACACTGCGAGTAACAAAAGTTATGATTATCATAAGAACTCTAGGAGATCTTCAGAGTTATCACAAGAACTCCAGGACATTTTGAAAAATCGGGTATTAAATTGTAAGCCGGGGCTTTATGTTTGCAATTTTGCATTATAATTAGGCAATAATGTATGGCAAGGATGAAGACCAGAAAAAAACAGGTCAATACGTGGAGAATAATCTGGAAATTTCACTCAAAACTACCAGATTTTAAGCAAGAGGCGATGAGAAATGGCCAATGAATTAGTTTTTGACTAGCTTAATCATTAATTTTTAAGTAAGCACCTAAAACTCACTTGTAAAATATGAAAATTACCATTTTTGAGAAGTGTTTTTGTAGTTTATACAAATGTTTTCCGACGAACTCCGTGACAGTTATCACAAGAACTCCTGACAAGTTTTTATAAGAACTCCATCCCTCGTTGTATTATTATTATTATTATTATTCTTATTATTATTATTACTATTATTATTATTATTATTATTATTATTATTATTATTATTAGCCTGATATTTAAGATAGTCTGATCAAAGTTTGTGGACGAAAGTTTTTTTCAATCTATAAGTTTGGGGATTTTATTTCAACTTGGTTATCTGATACGCCAAAAGTAAACTTTCAAACGGCAAATTCCTAAATGTGTTGTTCAAAACAAGTTGATTTCGTCTGTAAAAGAGACACCCACACATTTGTATTTCAAAGGATATGTTTTATGTATTTTGCTTCTTTTTTGTGTGCGTGTGTGGGGGGGGGTCATTAACTATCTTAATAGAATTTACCCACTGATAACTGATATTTTAGTGGTTTTGCAAAAATGTTAACGTTATCTCTGAGACTTAAGGGCATACTTTTAAACATTAATTAACAATGGGGCATTTTGTTTTTGTTTTTTTCAAACCTTAATTACTGGCTTTCAGGCTTCCTTTTTCGTACTGATTAAAATCAATCTCATTTATTCAACATGATATAAATCATAGAGACTAAAATCTTAAATTACTTAAGTACTCTTAATGCGTGTTTCATTGAAGTCTTTACCCGAAGAAAAAAACAATAACATGTTTTTCATGCGAATCTCTTAAAGTAGCATGCCTTCAGATTAAACCTAGTTTTCATGAAAATTTTAAAAACGCATTAAAATCAGTAAAATAATGTGAACAAGGTATGTGATTTACACATTGCAGACAGTACTTACAATCCAATAAATTATTGGGGGAAAAGGTTAAAATATGCCAAAAATAGACCTTAATGCGTTAGTCACGCAGTAGATACATGATGATCAATACTGAAAACCCAGTCATTAATCGCACATTACAAGTAAATCATTACTTGAATCTTTTTTACTTTTCTTAAAACCCTTGTACATTTCTTTGAAATTTGATTTTCTTGAAATCAATAGGCTCATCTAGAGGCGCGCATCTTTAACGTATCGATACACGTAATATGACGTCAAAACAATGCCCAAGAGATGTTTTCATCATTTTATCATTTACATATTTCAAGATATGATTTAGAGAAATATAGTTCAATTCTTGCTAATATCGAAACTGGTAAGAGAAAATCAGATACATAAAATGGGTGAAACAAGCCCCTAAACCAACCGAACTGTTGTAAATACTTTGTTTTCACTGTTTTATAAGGTGACTTATTTGTCCTATATAGGCGGTTATCATAACGATTTAACGCAATACAAAGTTGAAGCAATACTTCAAGACGCTTGCAGAAATAATGATCACAAAATAAGACAAATGTCGTTTTTTTTTTCTTCTTACATTCTTACATTATTCATTCATGGTCGTATATAAATCGAGTTGACAAAATGAATTAGCCGTCTTAAAGTGCGTTTCGGTGGATTAAGAATTAATTACTCAAGCGCCGCCTTGGCCGTATATACCGGAATACAGTATTTAGTATGGTGCTCCAACACATTTTTAAAAGACTTTGACACGTTATATGGACTTAAATAAACTTTTGTTTATATCGCAAAGAACCGTTTATATAGGGTTATAATTATCTTTATAACGAATTCATAATACTGCAAACTTTCTTCATAAGGGGAAAAATGAAATTAAGTCATAAATCGAGTGCAGCTGTGTAAAAAAATTATATTAACGTCAAAATTATCCAATGAAAAACAACGTTACAAACATTCAGTATTATGAATATAATGATTTATTACGTAATATCAGTTTTGATTTCTTCAATTATGCATATCAGCAAAATAATTGCTACTTGGTACGTTTGGCATAAAGAAATTTCAAAAGAAAAAAATCTTTCGAAGCAGGCTGCAAATTTTTATAAAATTTATGTTTTTAATAACACTTAGCACGTGCGCGTTTTCTGAAACGAGCTTAAAGTTTCAGTTCAACTCTTGTAAAATATTTTAGTGACATTATGCCCATCCAGTCAGTGAAAAGGTAGAAATAAAGATATAAAATAATGTTCAATATGAAAACAATTCAATAATCCATGCGACCAACATACATTTTTATAAATATTGTTCAAAATGTATCGATTAAAAAAGTGGGGCATTCTTTTATAATTAAGTTAGTTTTTACTTGTATCATAAACATTTTTCATTATCAACCATTATGAAAGTCTATCTTTTGAAATATATACCTAATTCAACGCTACTAAAAAACGGAAAAAATGAGCATAATATCACTTTAAAGCAAACTAATACAGTACATTAATATAAGGTAAATGTTAATCCGGGCGTGTCACAATCTGATTTAAATCCCCACCTAATTAACATGCAAGATCCGGAACTTTAGTCAGATCGAGGTGTGTTATGTAATTTGATGATAGCAAGTACGGAGCAAGACACGAGGACGTACATTGAATAAATAAGAAAAAATTATATAAATGGTTTATAGTAAAATATGTTTGATGTCTATTTATATGTTTCGCCTCTTTGTATATATTTTCACGCAATTTGTTATTTGTAAATATGGATAACTCAATTTTAACTGAAAGAAAATGTCAAAAGGGAACGAATTTAAGCAAAATTACGTTATCTTAAATAACTAATGATCCACAAAACTTATCTACCGTGTTGTTTGGTTGTTTGTGTGTTGTTGTTTTTTCTGGGAGGGTAGGATTTATTGTTGTTGTTTTTGTTGTTGTTGTTTTTCTGGGAGGGGGTGGTCTTTGGTTGGTTGGTTGGGTTGGGTCGGTCGGCCGATCCGTCTGTTTCTTTATATTGCGCCGATTTTAACACATATGTTTATCATATCCGAACGACCGATCCGCCTAACCGACTTTCCTGGATAACTAACCAGTAATTACCAGTTTATCCACAAGTGACCGACAACAATCCTCACATGATTTCTAAATCAGTTGTGAGATACAAATGAGCCGCGTCACGACAAAACCAACATAATGGGTTTGCGACCAGCATGGATCCAGACCAGCCTGCGCATCCGCGCAGTCTGATCAGGGTCCATGCTGTTCGCTTACAAACCCTATAACAAGTAGAGAAACCGATAGCGAACAGCATGGCTCCTGATCAGACTGCGCGGATGCGCAGGCTGGTCTGGATCCATGCTGGTCGCAAACCCATTATGTTGGTTTTGTCGTGACGCGGCACAAATGACCATTAGCCTTGGCTATGTTAAAATACGCCTGGTCTGATGATCGAACCAGTGACCCCTGGATTGCTGATTCTCTCCCTAGTGTACCCACCGAACGTACATAACATGTGTCAAAATATGAAGTGATAGCCAGTTTTCCGGTACCGCCGTTGTAGAATTTTAGACTTACTTCGGAATAAAGAATATTTTGGATTTTCTTAGCTAATCCGGGGTCAAAACAAACTTTAACAAGCGCAATAGGTTGACTAATCGACTGTGACTGGTAGTGTGCACCGTAAAACTATCACGGTACAAGTTTTGTTTGTACCGAAGGATAAGCCTGTAAAACCCCGCATTTCCCGAGTTCTATTGATATTAAGAATAGAGAAAAGAAAAAAGTCTTATATTCAGAACCACACGCGGTAAATAAATATAATTGCATTCCTTAAAGAAATCATAATATACTTTTTTCCTGAATTTGTTTAAATGAAAATTACTTTCCTCATTTGGGTGGGTGTGCAGCTTAAATAAGTGACACAAAAACAATAAATTCAAGTCGTGTCAATAAATTTACACTAAACAAACATTTATTATCATTAGCGTTTGTTCTTTATATGGAGAAAGGTAAAACTAATCTAGAGCTCCAATAAGTTGAAGTGGTCAGGCGCACTGAAGAGGTCATAAATACTAAATGGTATCCTTTATTACTTGACCCACCCTATTTACAAATGTATTTCATCGTTTTCGAAAATAACGGACAGTTCAACTGTACTCTTTTGTCTTTGCTCAAATATGAAATCTATTTTTTATTTTATATTTTTTGTTGTAATATGCACGGAAATTTATACTATACATGGAGCTAAAGGTAAAATATATTATATATTTGTTTGTATTTCAAATTGAACTTTTGATATTTTACGACTTTTTTACCAAAAACAAATCTTTTCTTGTTTCCATTTTTTTTTTTCGAAATCTGTCTTACATATTTATTTTTTAAAAACAATATTAGATATATTTCAAAGTTTGTCAGTTTTCACCCACTAGTGATATTAGCATGTTGGGAAGAGATTTGAATAACTGGCAAAAAGTTTTAAGTATTGTCAGATTCCTTGAATTTGTAGAACATGGCTTGCTCTGTATTGGTTGAATAGACAAATCATCATGCAAAAAGCATGGAAAGAGTAAAATGAAAATGTTTAAATCAGGTTGTTTTTAGGGTTAGTTGAACAGAAAATTTCCGCTAAATGTCGCAACGTGACGCTAAATGTCGCAACGAGACGCTAAATGTCACAACCACCGCTTCAATCTAAATTTTATCTGATATTTTTTGTTGATATGGTCAATCACAACTGAAGTGAACTGCAACGTCCGGGAATCGAACCTGGGTCGCCCGATTCACATGTTAAAACATGTTTATTTTATATTTATAAAGATACCATGTAATAATTATCAATATTTTCTTATATCAAATTTGAGCATAGTATATCTTTAAGTAAAAGATGACTCAAAACAATCATTTCATCATCCATGAGGGCAACTGATTATTTACATTAAAAGCACATTATGCACCAGAAACGAATAATGTTTTACTTCTTTAGAAAGCAAAATGTAAACAAAGTATAAAAGTTTGACTTCCATACACATTCTAATTCACAATAACTGTCCTTATTGCCAAAAAGCAATAGAGGAAAAGGATTAGTCAGGTAGATAGCCAATGAATAATTTTTGGATGCTATAGAAGTACACCAAAATTTAAAAGCTTTTCAGAAATAAAAATAAAAGCATTTCTTGGGCATAATGGGTCTTTAATACGCATTCAAAATATTTAATTTTTATCCAGAAATCAATGTAGCTTTGAGTAAGGACGCAACACAGTTGGGAGTCTACTGGGCACCTGGACGAGCCGTGGATGGTTGTTCTTTAAATGATGACCCTGATACACAGCTATGTTGTAGTGCCTCGGAAAGTGCGGATCCAACCGGCTCAGATAACTTTTGGCAAGTTGACCTTCAGGAGGTATACAGTGTCGGGCTGATTGTGGTGTATGGCCGTATAGCTCGTTAGTATTATACATTTTGTGAATAAAAATATCATTATGTTGCATTTTGACGCACCTTTGAACAACCGATTTTTTATACTCTGTATTCCGTATCATAGAAAAGTTTAGAATAAAATATAAATCGGGTTAAAAGCAAACAGTACATTCATTTACTACATGAATGAACGCGAATGCTTATATGGCAACATTTTTTGTTCACAGTATGTTGTGTTAAAAAAGTGAAACTTACGCACAAAAAAAACAACTGAGATTCAAGAGGATATTCCACAAAGATATCTTTTAAACAGCATACTTTATTCTCTCACATTATTTATTTTCTGATTTTCTAAATATGCAATGAAATATTTATTGGAGTCTTTCGCATTTTTTTACAGCAAAAGGTGTAGAGCAGTTAGGAAATTTTATCATGTACGGGCAGTCAGGAAGCACCGGTGATAGGGTGCAACTTTACAACAACACGGGAGTCGAGTACGGGGACGGTATTTTCCGGGTGGACGTCAATCCGGAGAAAAATATGTCTGTCATTCGGCTAGAACGTCCTACCCAAAATGGAATTATTACTCTTTGCGAGGTAGAGGTGTATGAAGGTAATGAATTATCATACCATTTAGAATATACCATATTATAGTACGCGTATAACAATTTCATCATCTCCTCTCGGAACATATGGGTGCACTTTAAGTAGCGCTTTCAAATATATTAAAGAAACAAAAAGCTTTATTTGGCGCAGTGCGTTATAACAAGCTAATTCAAAAATTTAAAGTTGCATGCCTCCAGATGGGCCGAAATATTTCAAGAAATTCAAACTTTAGAAAGTGTACTAAGATTTTAAAAAAATTAAAAATATTCAAGATTCAATTAATGATTTACATGTAATATGTGTTTAATTATTGATTTTTCAGTATTGATCACCATAATTTTACCTTGTTACTAACGCAGTAGGGGATAATTTTGCATATTTTGACTTCTTTCTGGTAATATACATGAATTGTAAAAGTAATGTTGGCAATGTGTAAATTACTTTCAAATGTTCACTTCACAGTATTGTACTTATAAATACATTTTCATTTTTTTTTATGAAAATTAACATTAATCTGGAGGCATGCTGCTTTAACGCATCATTGTTCAAACTGTACCTGTTGTATCGAAAAAGTTTTAGTTCTGTAAAAAGTTGTACATGTTTACAATTGCATGTACATAAATAAAATACCCTTAAATTACAATGAAATCTTGCTAAAATGTTAGGTAACAATACTTTGAACTTTTTACAAATAACATTTTTTCTGTTATGATGCGCAAATATTCTTTACTGCATAATTAAATAATTGAATTTCCAATTAAATAAATACAGTTTACATAAAATTTGCCATGCTTGTTCTGCATGATATTTGAAGCGACTTTATACTTAACCCTGTTGTCTTTGTCCAAACACTATAACAACCGCACCTTTTTATTCCTATAATGTCAACTATTTATCGTGGGAATGTATTCATTATCTTAGTTATTATTTACAGAAGGGGATAAATTATGACCGCTATAAATTATAGTGGTATACTAACTTTGAAATTAGAAGAACACTTTACGAAATCACTAAGTTTATCTTGTCAAAACCTATTGTTTCATAAATTAATTTCTCCGACAACAGTGGGTATTGTATATTTGTAAAATAAAGTGATTGTTATGGTTTTAAAGGAGACGGTGTAAATTCATCACCTTACTTTAAACCGCTTTATACTAGATTACAATAAAAGAGATCGTCATAGAAATTTAGTGCATGGAAAATTTTGCAAAATTAATATAAATCCGCCATATACATAAAATGAAAAGTAAAAAAATTAAAACTCAATTTTTTCCAATAAATTATGTATGACATTTTTAAAATTTCATAGCGGACTTAAAAACGTTAACTGATACACCGCTTGGTTTGCGTAGCTATAGTCAATTCAAGACATAATTGTGACAATTAGCCTACTTATAAGTTACAATGAGAAACAATCTGGTTAAAAACGCTACGCATTAGGATCTGACATCTACTCAAAGGAAGTCACCTTCTCGTGGTCTTTCATACAACCAATCATTGGCGAGCTTTCATTAATTTGAAAGAGATGCGGTTTCTAATTTTAACCACTGGAAAATCAAGTTATCTAACCAAAAATCAGCAATTTGTTTAATTGGACTTATTCTACTTGTAATAGAAAAAGTAATGTGATGGGCTTCAGGAAAAAAAATAGATTAAACTTGAATAACCGACAATTCTGACACTGGTACGACTGTACATATTTGCAAGTCTTCTCTCACCTGCAGAATTTTTAAAATTCACTTTCCAAGCTCCCATTTTTTAAAACTGACTATCAATCTAGAAATATGAAATGAGCCGCGTCACAACAAAACCAACATAATGGGTTTGCGACTAGCATGGATCCAGACCAGCCTGCGCATCCGCGCAGTCTGATCAGGATCCATGCTGTTCGCTTACAAACCCTTTAACAAGTAGAGAAACTGATAGCGAACAGCACGGATCCTGATCAGACTGAGCGGATGCGCAGGCTCGTCTGGATCCATGCTGGTCGCAAACCCATTATGTTGATTTTGTCGTGACACGGCTCAAATGTATCTTTTCTGTGACATCAGCATGAACATTTGGTTTGGCACGGTGTATTATAATTGTTGTTTTATTTGTCTTCAGCTTGCGACGATGGGTCATACGGTACGAACTGTTCATCTGATTGTGGAAAATGTATGAACGACCTCCCTTGTGATAAAGTTACGGGCGCATGTTCCTCGGGTTGTGAAGCTGGCTGGGTAGGACCGGAATGCCAACAGAGTATGTTTTAAGAATAAAGTTTATTTCTTTAGATGTAAAATGACATATCTAGTTTCCAATATGAGTAAAGAATGTTTCGACTAAAGAATGCTACGCTTTTTTGGTAAAGTATAAGATTTTTCTCCAAGTTCACAAAGAAAAAATCGGAGCAGGGTCCTGATTGTGTCTACATTGCTGTAGAAGTGTGCATGGATTAATGTACTGTGGCTAATATTCTTCAAATAGTCCTCAATCTGTTGCATAGCCACAAAACCAAATTATCTTTTGGATAATATTTAGGACTATCTAAAGATTATAATATAAGCTGGATAAAAAATACGAATCAAATCAAAGACCAATTGCAAAATTATGATCAACTTTTAATAACATACCTTTAAACAACACATTTCTTAAAAAATATTTTTTGTTTCTTCTACAATTGTATAATCTTATTTGATTTCAAGTCCATCTGTAAGTTAACATTATACATGTATATGTAACTATAAAACAATTTTGAAATAATATATGAAATGCTGAATCCTCGTCCATCACCCTTTGTAAACACAAAACCAGAACTTTAGTCGGATGGATTTTTCGGATGATTTACACATTTCTATACTGCGTTATGGTATGACACAGCAAGGGGGTTGGAACTGGTATCAACTCGATAGGAGGCGGATGGTGTCTATCTAGTCCGCGCTCGTGTTTGTTTTGTTTAGGATTCGGAGAGATGACTTACTAAAGCAGATGTATTGTTATGAAAAAAGTTGTTACGGACAAAATTTTCTTAAAGGCCCATTATGCCTCAGAAATTATTTTGTTTTTGTTTTTCAAAAGCTTTTTGATTTTGGTGTATTTCTATAGTATTCAAAAAGTTACTCATTGGTTAATTATCTAAGCCATCTTTTTCATCTGTTGCTTTTTGGTAATAAGTACAGTTATAGAGGATTAGTATTTTGTATGAAGGACAACATACTAGTCTACTTGGTTTACATTTTTTCACTATCACTTCTTTCTTCAGGTAACACATATCTAATAACAATCTCTAAAACCATTATTTTAACATTATAAAACTCATGTTTGCCATTTCTAAAGAAGAAAAAAATTCTTCTGGTGGCATAATGTGCCTTTAAACAAATATTAAGGTAGCTTACTAATGGTAAGACTTAAGTCTATATTGTTATAAGGAAACGTTAACATATGTGCATGAAATATAGTGTCGTATCTAGCCTGAAAAATGAGCAGGGTACACAGGAAACTAGGCAGGGCACAAATGGTAAATGGGACAGGGTGCGCTGTGATATTCACAATATCAAATTCTTAAAAAAGAGAGCTCTAAAATTCTAACATTTTCAAACTATTCTATTATTCCACAGGAGAAAATATTGCCCTGAACGCTACTACGTCTCAGTCCAGCACGGCAGCTGATTGGACGTCTGATCGAGCTGTAGACGGCTGCACCAATCGGAGCGCAGAAGCTCCGTGTAGTAGTAAAACACAACCAAGCACGGAAAATTTTCTTGAAATAAACTTGGATAAAAGATATACTGTCGGAAGAATCGTTGTAACCGGACCGGAAGAGGAAGGTTTAAGAACTTTTAAAGATGTTACTTTTTTAAAGCGGCCTTTAGCGTTTCTTAAGGATAAATATGTTTTTAGATAAATCGTTTCATAAAATTTAAATTAGTAATGCGGAAATGATCTTCTATTTTTAGAAACGAACGCCACTGGCGCATTATAAATAACTTTCGGGTCGCTTTGAAGAAAGCTTTATAGAGATATTATGCACTTTTCCAAGATGAACTTATTGAAATACTTATTTCGAAACAACACACAGCCTAAAATAATTCTTAAAAGGAAATAAAAAATGACCAGTTGTCATGACGACAAGGATGATTTGGTTGAAAGGGAGATTTGATTTTTTTATAACAAAAAAAAAGAAAAGAAAACAGCGAAGTGTCTATGTTGCCATTACTCAAGTTATTTTAGTTATCAGTTGTTTTAAATTAAGTTGTTGAATTTTGTGGATTGTAAATGAATCTAATATTCTGCATTTTTTAAAGAATACATTCATGTACGAAATGTTTTAAGAAATTGTGAGAAGGATTGCTGAAGATATAATATTTGGACTTGATTTTGCTTTATTTTCTTTGTAGAGGAGCTATCTGGTTTTCAAGTTTACTTCGGTTCTTTTTTGAGGCAGCTTTTATACAGTAATGTTGGCAAACCGTATGGTGATGGGATATTTACAATAAATCTCCTACCACCACTGGACATTTCAACACTAAGAATTATCCGTGACAACAGCACTGTCAATGTTTCACTTACTGTCTGCGAGGTGGAAGTATACGAAGGTAAACAAACGTTTGAGCCGCGTCACGACAAAACCAACGTAGTGGGTTTGCGACCAGCATGGATCCAGACCAACCTGCGCATCCGCGCAGTCTGATCAGGATCCATGCTGTTCGCTATCAGTTTCTCTGCTTGTAATAGAGTTGGTAAGCGAACAGCATGGATCCTGATCAGACTGCCCGGTTGCGCAGGCTGGTCTGGATCCATGCTGGTCGCAAACCCATTATGTTGGTTTTGTCGTGACGCGGCTCGTAAATTGTAAGAAGTTAATGCATAAATTTTAGAGTATTTGAACATAAAAATAATGTATAGTACAACCTCGACAGAGCGACCAATGTAGAGCTTTGACCTTTTTCATGTAATGCGGGGAAGTATGGGCATTTGAAAGGAAAGTAAATTTAAAAAAATTAAAATTGTATAAAATTATATACCTGTGAAATCTTCAGTATCATTTCTAGGTGGGCACCGCTATTTTTAATGCTAAATGATAAATGATGGGGGGTATTCCGATAACAGAATAATCGCAACTTTTCGGCTTAAGAACAAGACAAACATATATACGGTCATTCGTAAATGAATGAAAGTAATCATCAATCATGACAATTATAAATACCAAATATTATAGCTATTAGCTGATATAGAATGCAGGGTGTGTGTTATGAGTTAGTCTAAATGTCACTCCCGACCCCGGGGAATTGCAGGGGAATTTATTCATGTTTTAACATTCCGTCAGAAACCGGACGATGGTTTTGTATAGTGGGGTATAAGTACATTGATATTTATTGTTCACAGTTGCGGATTGTTTGCATTTTCGGAAAATTTACGACTAATATTTGGCCGTCCCCAAAATGCTTAGTGTTTGATTTTTAATGATCCAAAGGTCAAGTTTACAATTATTCCCTGAGTAGAGAGATCTGTCCACAAGTTACTGGCGCATTACCTTATTGTTTGTTAACTAAATCCTGCGACTTATGTGTGTATCTATATGTATCATGACATTGTTTTAATCTGTACTAGTTTGCCCTTCTGGTTTCTACGGTGACCTCTGTGACCAGCCATGTGGAAATTGCCTAGGAGGCGACGTTTGCTATGGTAACACCGGAAGTTGTCCTAGAGATTGCGCAGCTGGTTGGCATGGTGACACGTGTGATACAGGTACACAGATTTAAGTTTTTGTCAGTTGGGATTTTGTCTTTTAGTTTAGTTTTTCCTTACATCCTTATAACACTTTTCAAATATGTTAATTGTAAACAAGTAATAGAAAATATAAAAGTAGTTAAATATTTTTGTAAATCGTTGGCAACAGTCAACAGTTGATGGCCATAGGAAGGGCACCAAAATGGATGTCATTTACAATAAAGTGTGAGCTAATTCCAATTATGTGCGACTTAAAGTAAATAATAATTATACATATACATGAAAACTGAAAAAAAACCTAAATCGCTCACAGAAGCTATGACTTTGCATAATTTTGGTTCACTTTATGCAACCATGCCTTTCATATAATGTTTTAGAAGTCTCCATTTGTGCCATTTCACTACAGACAGTGCATGATACGAAATAACAATCAAACGTTTCTGTTTGTTAGATTGTTATATTGTTAAACCTTAATTTTGTGAATATTATTTCTAGCCTGCAGTCCTGGTACATACGGTGAAAATTGTGACACAGACTGTGGCGTCTGCTTTAATAACCAGTCTTGTAACATAGTAAACGGAAGTTGCCCGGATGGTTGTGATCCTGGGTACCATGGAGAAGCGTGTGATATGGGTAAACATTTAAACTAAAATTAATTTAAATATTCCAGATAATAAACTCATAACTCATATCTCAGACAATGTTCACACTGTATTTATTTATGAGAATCTTCTTCTGCCTAAGAATAAATTTACTACTTTTTTCTTATTTATTAAACTATTTACTGCCAATCAGAAACTCTCTCCAAGTTTGGGCAATCGAAGAACCGCAAAGTATAAACAGTTTCTAGAAACATGTTTTGTTTACATATGTATGTTCAAATGTCTATAAAGCATGACTTTCGTTCTCATGTTTACACGCTATTGATTTTAAATTTAAATAGCCATTACTATTTCTTTTTAAATAAAACAATCAAGAGCTCCCAAGGGTTTACTATTATTTTTTGGTTTGGACTTTGTATGTTGGAATGTTTCATGTTTTGATATACAATATACTGTTTTAGTGTGTACAAACGGAACTTACGGGTATGGGTGCAATGAGACATGTGGCTTTTGTTTTAATGACACACATTGTGACGTCATATCCGGTAATTGTTCATCATGTGCGGCCGGATATCAGGGAACCATGTGCAAGACAGGTAACAGTCTTTCAGTCCGAATTCTTCAACAGTCATCGTATTTTTTTTTGAAAATTACTTCCTATCTAACCATGGTCTTTCAATTTATTCATCTGTAAATTTTCAAAAAAGATTTTTTTGATATTTTATTTTATTTGGCCAGCTTTCCAAGAAGAAAATGCCGACATCTTCCAATGACCATAAATATGCAAACTTTATAATGTTTTACTCCATTCACTACCCTAATTAAATTGATCGAATGAGCAAACCCTTCGATACTTCAGTACTTTGACATATTTTGTGTATAAAGTAACTAAAATTATTTAAAGGTACACGATGTTTTTATTTGTCTTTCTTTCTCATTTTTAAATTACAAGCATAATTTAAACATATTTTAGAATGTGGACATTCGACATTTGGACCAGACTGTCTTCATATCTGTAACTGTTTAAACAATGATACGTGTGACACAAGCACGGGTATTTGTCAGAATGGATGTGCGGCCGGATGGGAAGGGACGACATGTAGCGCTGGTAAGTGCTTTACGTTAAAGCTGCATGCCTCCAAAATATTTAAAGAAAGTCAAACTTGAGAAAAAAAATAAAATATGTTTAAAAAAGAGTCAAGATTCAAGTCAAATTAACATGACTCCTTATATTCGAATAATGACTAATTTATTTATGATCATATTTCCTTAGGGCTTTTTTGAATATGTTGGCCTCTTCTTTTTTTTCTTTTTTTTTTTGGGGGGGGGGGTGTCTGTTTCTTTGTTTTGGACTTTTTTGTTGTTGTTTTTTCTTTTCTTTTCTTTAAAGTGTCGTTTGCAATATTCAAATTACTTTGCTTGTTCCCTTCACAATATTTTACTTTTAAATACATTATCTAAATTTCCACAAATCTGGAGGCATACTGCTTTAAACAAAATTGAACCCATGATACAACTCAAATACAATGTAGAAAACGTTATATTTTTTCCTAAGCCCATTTATTTTGTAGTTATTTCTGATCGCTAAAGAAAATTATCAACTGTACCTTTTCACATTTTTTGTGTTGTAATGAGAGAGGTTAAGCCTTTTAATTATAATTGTTTCGAAATTTATCTTCTAACATCGAGCCATGTCGTCTTTCAAAACCTTTAAGCTTTATAAACTCATCTTCAGGGAGCTTTTTCAGTTATTGTACCAATCTATTAGTGGAGCGGGAAATAAGGTCTCTCCTGTCAAAATAGTGCAAATTGTGATACAAGCATGAAACTTTCAGGAAATCATCTTTAGACTATAGAGATTCCAAAAGTGAAGTGGGCCCAAAAATATCTCTGCTCATACAAGATGGCCGCAATTTTCAAAATGGCAGCCATATAAATTTGACATACATATTAGCTCATTCAGTGAATTTTTTGTACAGACCTGAAACTTACACCAAAGCATGTATAAAGTTTCTCCTTTACAAAAATTCAAATCGTGAACAAAATCAGCGTTCATACCTCTTCAGAATTCAAGATGGCATCCAATATGGCCGCCGATTTTATGCAAAACTGATATATCTCTTTTGTCATATAATTTGTATCACAAATTATGCATATTTCGATAAAAAGTGTATAAACATATCAAAAATTATCAAATTTTATGTAAACCACAATGTTAGTCAAGCTTTTTAAGTTATTCATCCAAAAAGTATCGTTAAAAATATTAAAGAAAAAGTGCCAATATTTGCATATTTCTCTAACATGGTTTTCTAATAGGTCTTTGTACAAAACTTAAAAGTTACTTAGTTTCTAATAGTGTATTTGATATTTAATTAAGTAACACTATGTGTTTATTGTTAAGATATAATCTGTAGGTTTTATATTTTGTCAAAGTGGGTGGGGTAAATATATCTGATAATTGAAAAACATATACAACGAAGTTTGTAAGTTAATTTTATTTCTTTGCTTTTTGTTAAACTTTCTATGAATTCTTAGGAAAATATTTACTGTTAAAAATATTTGTTTTTTTAAGGAATTATTGCCTTCATTCAGGTCTAGAGCTTAAATGCACATACATTCATGTGTATACGGTCAGTTGTAAAATTTGTTTGCAAGATATGACTTGTTTCAATATTTTTAATATTATCAGTTAATTGTGATGACAGTAGACTGAATATACATAAACAAGACATGCGTTAAATATTGTCTTAATTACGAATACAATTAAATCCTTAACAGTTTCTTTACGAAAAGATAAAAATCGCTTTAAAGTCAACACAATGAGAAAAATAAAGTTTGCATTAGATATCAAAGTCTTACTGAAGGCTTGTTACAGTACGATTCAAAGTTATATCTACTTTCATGTCACTGTAATTAGGTATAATTGAATTAGCCCTGTTTATATAATAACATATCTAGACATGGTATTTTCAAAAGGTACAAAGTAAAATTAAGACTGAAACATCATATGATCTATGTGTAGTGAAATAATTAAGTATATCAATAGTATCGCTTGACCCACATATATTTGCTGATGATTTGAAATACGAGGGCTGTTCATAAAGTTTGTGGACTGCGGCTCTACTGTTCACATCTTTTAATTTGCGTATATGATTTTGCAAGGGACATATATGAAAATATGTCCTTAATAAACAGTGAAAATATCAATACAATATGTTTACAAATAACAATTCTGTGACAGTTACAAATCACAAGGGGTGCAAAATCCGGCGCACGCTGATGATGAAACAAAATGACGTTCGTGGCGTCGCAATATATAATGAAACATTTTACCAGCGTCATTGTTTCTGAAAGTACTTTTTGTAGTGTTCAATATCTGTGGATCATATACTAAAACCATTTTACTGTTTGTGATGATGACCCATTCTCCGTATAAAGGTCCGAGTGCCGCATACTTTCCGCTCTTTATCGGGATTTTTGAGATATTTCGACACTTAACGAACATAGTTATTAAGTTAATTGAATTGTTGATTTATAGTGTCAATTTGAAACCGCCCTCGTCCAAACTTTAAACAATATGATTATCAATGATAAAGAAAAATATTTTATCAACTGACAATAATTCTATGCGGTGAATCTACTGAACACCGGCTAGCATTTATTATCAAACGGACCAGGGTAAATACACGTAATGCAAATAATAACTACAATTATTTAATTTTACCCATGAAATATGGTTCTATATCAGTCAAATATATTTCATATTTTTTTAAAAATAAATATGAAATATAAATATGAAAGTGGGCGGAGTCAAAACTCATATTTATTTTAAGGGACTTCTTTCGCCGTTTTGTTTGAAAAATCTGATAAATACAAAACAACTTTTTCTTGAATATTGTTTTGAAAACTATCTAGCATGATAGAAAATGGTCTAACTAAGAAAATTAATCCGAACACCAATATCTTTAATGCAGTAATTAACGCTGTACAGACGTTTTAAGAGTTGTTTACATGACGTCACAAGGTAGCGCCAAACAGCGCGTGCTTACACATAAATTACTGCGCGCTGTACAATTGCAGTTGGTAGCAAGCAAGGGGATTCGTTACCATTTTCTTTGATAATGAAATTAAATAAAAAGGTTATTTTTTCGTTTTTTTGTGAAATATGGTATATATTTTCACTCAACATGATAAAATGCCACATATTTTCACTCGCCGTACCGGCTCGTGAAAATATGTGGCATTTTATCATGTTTCGTGAAAATATATTCCATATTTCACGCAAACGAAAAAATATCCTCTTATTATTTATTGTAAATACGCATATATCTTGATGAATGAAATACAATATTATTTAAATTAAATTAAATTGTTTGGCTAGAATTGAATGCATAGACCCGATGCAGAAATTAAACATGTCTGGAGTTCTGTAGATCTTTTGCAATTGACGTTACAGACGTCCCAACAATTTACCGCTAAAAATTATCCGTCGCCGCCTTTCTGTCTGTGAGCATGTATTTGGCCGTATTTTGAATCGCTTGCGCGACCTGTAACCAAGAGAGACTTGCTCGCAAAACTCATTGTTCTTCGTTAATTTAATCACCTCATAAAAAATATAAAGGAGTATCCCACATTTATTGTTTTTAAAAATTTTCAGAAAGTGCGAATTTCTAGTTTTTTGAACGGGCTTTTTATACTTTTCCCAACTTACCCGTCTGTCTGCTGCTGCTCAAAACCTTATTTGTTCAGATATTCAAACGTCCGAACGAACGTTCAAATTACAGATTTATGTCATTTAAATATCAATAGATGATTACTTGTATTTTATTTCAATAAAACAATCATTCAAGTTTGTTTCAAAATTTGTTTTATATTTAAACATTATATGAAAATTCCGGCGTGCGCCGATGTTGCGTTGCCATGGGTTTATTAAAGTGACAAAAATTTGTAAAGGGAAAAAACATTAACAAAAAAGGTAAATCTCCTTTTGAAATAAAACACTCTTTTGATTCTATTCCCCTAAGGGTTTTTTATGAACCCAAGTAAAAAACGGCAAAAAAAATCCCCACGAAACTTTTTTTAAATTTTCCTTTGTTTTAAACTAAAAATTTCTGTAAAAATTATTCAAATTTCATTTTCCATTAAACAATCCTTTTACCACTGCAAGGGGAAAAATTCCCATAACGATTTTTAAAAAAGAAGTAAAAATTTAAAAATTTATTTAAAGGGTATCAAATTTTTTTACCACCAAAAACAGTTATTTTTTTATGAACTTTTTGGAAGGGGTTTGCTTAAAAAAAAACTTTTCCCCAATATCTAGGTAATCATAGGGAAAACTGTTTACACAAGAAACTTTATTAATTAAAATTTTTATATGAGTCCATATGAAATTTGTGGGTTTTTTCCTTTTGCCAATAATTCCCCTAATTTTTTTTGAGGGATCACAGAAATGTTTTTTTCATTTAAAAATTTTTTGCTCTGGAAAAATTTATTTTTGGGGAAAAATTTTTTAAGACAGTTTTAAGTTAAAAAGCAAACATTAGTAACTACCGGGGGCCATTTTTTGACAGCCCGGGCACGATGAAAAGGCCTTTTCAATCGCTTTTCAAAGAAGGGGGGAAAATTTTGTTTTAAAGACTTTTATGGAAATCCCCATGTAAGGTTTTCCCCTTTTGGAGAACTACAAAGCCCTTTAACTTAGATTTTTCAACATTCCAAATTGGGAACTTGTTTAAGAGAGAAGACCTCTTTAAAAAATTACATTAAAAATCTCTTTTCGTTAAATTGTGTACTAGAATTTTAATTTGTTTAAAGTTTAAAAAATTTTTTCTTCAAAAGCAGAAATGCACAGAGCATAGATACTAAAGCGTATACATCATCTTGTGTCATGAATCTTGCTCATAGAGCCACCCGGGTATTGGGTTTGTGTGGGAAAACACAATAAGAGAACTTCTAGTGTTAAACTAAAATGCATAAAAATTGTTATGATGTCCTGCAGTTAAAATGGTTTTGAAAATGGGATATCACTTATTTTACACAGACTTTTGTAATTAAATTTGTATTCTCTAAAACTACAGTATACCGAATAAATTATGTATCATCATAACCTTGTTAAATACAAATATTTTTAAAAAATCATGGACAAAGATGGTCAAAATTGATCGTGCACCAGAGGTCACTAAAGTTTATAATGGTCTCATATAGGAATATTAATACTTATTTAAGTCCTCTCATGAGAAACAATTCTGAGAAACTTGATATTACAGGCTGTTTCTTTTTAAAGCATCCTTACAATATTTTCACAGAATCATATAATATGTTATGACAAAAATTGATACACCCAATAAACCTACGTTTATAAAGAATTGTGACCTTTCCCCAACAATGGTGTGTGACTTAGGGGTCATCATTGCCCTGTTATTGAAAATAAAAATAGATATAAAATAATTTATGAATTACAATTATTTTATTTTAAATCAATCAAAAACTGTATGTAGGTCAGGTGATATCATGTGATATATCTGTTTCACAACACATGGAATGAGATGATGTGATAGTAGCCTTTTTAATATATGCAAAAATTATTATCTTATTGAGTTAGTTTTAAGCCATTTTCATATTTTCAATATGAAATTGTGAAGGAGTTAATAATATGCGTCAATGGACAACCTTATTCATGTGCAATGTTTGCTCTTTAAAGCATGTTTGTTGGCTTATTGTCTTCTTTATATATTAACAATTAATAAACAATATCATCAAATGATTGAAACAAGTAATATCACGCAAACAAATTTTAATAAACTGAGTGTATACTAATTAATTTGTATGTGCATTTATTGATATTTTAGCTCACGCTACTTGACCCATGAAGGGAAAGATTATATTTTATAGTTTTTCCCTAACAATAAACCTAAAATGAATTCCCTGTATAAAACCCCCAAAGAAGACAAAAAATACATTCGTCCAATAAAAGACATACTTTTTTTTTAAAGGGAACAGTTTCATAATAATTTTTAAGAGAAAAAGCGGGAAGAAAAAACTTTTTACGGTCAGTGTAAATTTGTTTTGGTTTTCTTTTGTAATTATGGTATAAATTTACCCCACCCAACTTTGACAAAATATAAAACCTACAGTTTTTAATGGTTTTCTCATATGTTAACAACAAACCCTAATTTTGAATTGAAATTAGCAAATAAGAAATAGTTATTTTTTTTTTAATTTTGCATATAGAGTTTAGAAAACAAATTAAGTGAGAAATAGCAAAAAAAATGAAGGATTTTTTTTGATATCTTTAAAGATATTTTTAGACATTTAAACTTTAAAAAACTTTATTTTTCATTATGATTAACATATGATTTGATAATTTTTTGATATTGTTTTAAACACTTTTTTTTATCGAAATAATACTAATTTTGTGCTTTACAAAATACTATTAGAAATTATTATAACAGTTTTTTGCGTTTAAAAAAAATTTCGGCCGGCGCCATATTGGGACGCCATCTTTTGGATTGAAGAAGAGGTACGAAACGCGGAAAGTTTTAAAATTAAAATTTTTGTAAAAAGGAAACACCATTATACATCTTCGGGTTGTAAGTTTTCAGGTCTTTACAAAAATTTTGACTGAATGAGTTATTTATGCGCGTCAAAAATTTAAATGGCGGCCAATTTTGGGAAAATGGCGGGCCATCTTGAATGAGCAGAAGATTATTTTTGGGGCTCACTTCACTTTTGAAAACCATGTGCGGTCCTAAAGATGGATTTCCTGAAAAGGGTTTCATGCCCTTGTTATCACCATTTGCACTATTTTTTCTCCAATTTCCCGCCCCACCTTATTATAAAATTTAAAGGTAGTATTGAAATGCCTTGAAAAAACTATAGACCATATTACATTGCTTAGTTGTATAGGGAAATTTAGTTTATCAAGTATACCCTAAATGAAACATTGAACAAAAATATTTAGAAAGTTATAATTTTATTAAATTCAAACCAAGCTGGATTTAGGAAGCATCATTCAAGCTGTTGATAATATTTTTATTCTCCAGCATGTTTCAGATGTACCTTAAACTATAAGAAAACAAAACTTTTTTGTGCTTTTAATTGAACTTTCAAAAAAGCCTTTGACTCTGTTATGGAGAGCAGGCGTTTTGGTGTAAAAACTTGGTCAAATATAATATTTCTGGAAAGATTTTAAATATAATAAAGAATATGTACAGTGAAATCAAGTCATGTGTATCTGTAAATGGCAAATTTTCAAAAAAATTTTTTGGTTGTTACTAGGGGCCCTTAAGACAAGGCAGAAAATTTGTCAACCGGTTTAATTTTTTCTCTGTACCTAAATGACTTAGAAAAATAACAATGTTACGTAATAACGATGTTTCTTGTTATACTTGAAGATAATAACATTGAAATATTTTTGAAAACTAGTTGTTTTTGTTATATGCTGACGATACCAAATTCTTTTTGCTAAAACAGAACAAAGATCTTACATGTATATCTGTGTTGAACACCTTTTTCTAATTATTGTTCAAATCTGGAAATTAAATATAAACTTTGATAAAACAAAAGTAATGGTATTTGGTGATAAAAGAAATAGGAAACAGGAATATTACGGTAGATAATCACGTTTTTAGAGATCGTAGACACGTTTAAATATCTGGTGTAGTTTTTTCTAAGAACAGACAATTGCTGCCGGTTGCAAAGAAACATATTGTTTGATCAAGCAAGACGGGCAATGTTTTTTGGTTATATAAGAAAATAAGAAAAATCTAGATTTAGCTATTTGATTGTCAGTTTAAAGTTATCCGATCATTACAATTGTACCAATTTTTAACTTATGGGTGTGAAGTTTTGGGGTTTTGGTGACCCTTGTCGCTTATAGAAAAAGTGCATAACAGATTTCCTTAAATATGTATTACGTGTTAAGAAAAGTACACCGCATGTTATGGTTTTATGGCGCGAACTTGGGCGTTTCCATTATAATTGCTATTTAGAAACGAATTGCTGGTTTTTAGTTGATTTAGTTTTAAAAGACTTCAAACAAAAAAATTTTCGTCAAAATATTTATAAGCTTTTTATAAATTTTGAAAAATTTTTGTAAGAAAAGGTTTTAAGGAAAATACAAATTTGGTTTTTGAATGTTAAAAGGGATTTTTTCGAAAAAGGTATGAAGTTATATTTGGTTAAATCAAAGTTTTGTGGGTTTAAAGCTTTTTTGTTAAAAAAAATTGATATATCAATGGTTTACCAATTTGTACCAAAAAAAGGGCGTATGATGTCGAAACCCCAATGCCAAAAAAGGTTTTTTTTATTGAATGTTTCAAAACTACCATTGCTTTTTTAACCGACCTTTGTTTACTGTCAGACAAATAATTTAAAAAAATTTTTTTAAAAATTTTGTTGTAACAATTTTCCCCCCCTTTTAGAAAGAGGAAGGTGGGGTTAAAGGTTTTTTGTTAAATGAAAAGAAAAGGGAGTCCCTTTTTAAATTTAAATGATTAGGTGATGAATTCCCTTTAATTTTTTGAGTTATTTTTAATTTAAACGGGAAAACGACTTTCCCCAAAATTTAAATTAAAAAACAAAAAATTGTTTCGTTTAGAAAATTAATGAATGAAAGATCTCAAAAATTTGGGGAACTTTAATTAAATTTTTTTTATGTTTTCTTTTAAACTTTTTAAAAACCCCCCTGGCTAGTCACTTTTTTTTTGTTTTTTGTTTTTTTTATTTATAAAAATTTTTTTTATTTTTCAAAAAAAAAAAAGCATGTAACAATGACATAGTTACATTTAAAGTTTGAAAAATTTTTAGTTATAAAAACTTTTTTTTAAACTTTCAGAGTTCATTTAATTTTTTTAACAAACCCATTAAAAATTTTTTATTTTTTTTATATATTATTGTACACCTCTTATCATATGTAAATATGCTGAGTGTATCAATAAAACTTGAAACTTGAGTTACAACCACTGAATCAGAGATTCAATGTCTCAAATAGACGTATATATGAATAATTTGCAATTGTAAGATCATCTTATTAAAGCAGCACGCCTCCAGATTAATGCTTATTTTCATGAAAAATTTTACTTAAAAAGTAAAATGTTGTGAAGATAACAAGGAAAGTAATTAACACATTGCAAACGACACTTACAATCCACATAAATTACCGAAAAGAGGCCAAATTATGCAAAATTGATCCTTACTGCGTTAGTAACGCAGTAGAAATTTGGTAATAAATTCTGCAAAATCAGTCATTTAAAGCACATAAAATGTACATTATTACTTGAATCTTGAATATTTCTAATGTTCTTAAAATCTTAGAACATTTTTCTCAAGTTTATTTTTCTTGAAATATTTTGGCTTATCTGGAGGCATGCAGCTATAAATGTTCAAAGTTACGTAAAATACCGCCCCCATTTCTTCTATTTCTTGCATTGACCAGAGACATAGATAACACGCGTTCTTGATAACTTTAAACCTGCATCCATTAAGTTTTACTTGCTACAAAATGCCTAATTCTACACTTTTTGATAGGCATTAGTGATATTTCAATGGAGTATTTAGGAGCTGCTTATCTCTGTTATCTACATCTCTGTATTTACAGTTATCTCTGTAAAAAGAAAACCTTGTACACGTACAGGCAAATGTATGAACATACAAAATTGTATTTTACATTGTGCAAAGAGTTCCATAATATATTACATATTTGTTGGATGATAACACCATTTCAGAATGTCAGAACTATACATTTGGTCTAAATTGCTCGAATGAATGCGGACATTGTGTGAACAATGAGACTTGTGACGTCATTTCCGGAATATGTCCGTCCGGATGCGCACTAGGATGGTTGAATGAAAATTGTAACGTCTGTAAGTAGCACACAATGTTGATATACCGTGGAATAATTATTTTAGATAAGTCGAATAATAAGGACATTATTCATAGTATATGTTTTCCGTCTGAAAACTGAAAATGCACATGTCAGTGCATTTAATGAATTTGATAAACATATGTTTTTTTCCCTTTCTATTATGACTATTTTCATGTTTGTTCTCACAATTTCAGAATTCCACAAAAAATTATTATTAACTGTAATTTCATGGTAAAGAATAAAGTACTATTTATTTATTTTATTAATATATTTATTTATTCAGCGTGTAGTTCTGGGTACTATGGTGAGAACTGTACTGAGTCGTGCGGTCACTGTCTGAACAATGAAACTTGTGATTTCGAGACTGGAGTTTGTGCAAGCGGATGTAAGGCAGGCTGGCAGGGGGAGAAATGCAAAACGGGTAAATACACAAACATATTATTATAATAAAAAAAAATATATTTATCAAAGTTAATCTTTTTTTTTTAGATTTTGCCTTATTTCATATAGATGGCGATGCTTTTGAGGTGTATGTCATATTGTATGTATACTATTATAATTATGTTTATTCAAATTTGTTTGTGTTTTCGAATATTTTCGAAATAGATAGATTAGATAGCAGCCTATCTCGCTTCAATGTAAATGTCAATGTCAAAAGAAATGTTCATAAAGAAAATCAAAAATTCTTACCCTAGGGTTTTATTAAGACATTTCCAGCTTTTTATTTATTAAATTGGGTTCTTCGTGCAAAACAACCAAACGTCATGGCGGTGATAACCCATTAGACAAGCCGGATAAAAGAAAATGATAATTTCCAAAACCAACACGTGAAAATCACAAAACCAGATTAACCCATTCAAAACTGAAAATGAATTACTTATTATTCCTATTTCAAAACAGACATGTCACTTGCATAGTTTAAGCAGCGAAAAAATTAAGTGTGAGATTGAATTTTGTGATCTATTGATAATAAAAATAATATAATTTTGCCGCTTAGGTACAGCAATAAAAATATCGAAATACTTGAATAATTAATGTCATACTTAAATCACCGTTTTAGAATGCAACAATGGAACGTTTGGAGAGAATTGTGTTGGTAACTGTTATTGCGCGGGTATGGAGGCGTGTGATAAAGAAACGGGAATTTGTCCTTCCGGTTGCGAGATAGGATTTTCCGGAGAATTTTGTCAATTTGGTAAATAGTAATTAAATACTAAATTCTTAGCTTAGACGTAAATACTTATATTTCAACTTAAAATCGAATTCGTTACATTAATTGTTGGTTTAAATTCTTTCCATTCTCAAACAAACAAAAATGAACATTTAGAAAATGATGATTAGTTTTAAAATATTTTGCACAAAAAAAATATTCTTTTTTAGGTGTTTGAATAAAATATGTCATTTCTGGCCAATTTTAACACTGGTCACATAAAAATATGCCATTGCCGTGAAATAAGTGATGACGCGTAATTAGTGATGTTGAGTATACTATGTTACAACGCTTTCGAGAATCTACCATAATATTATGAAAACAACATACGCAACAACACATCTACAATAATCATAGAAATAGTTCATGAGATATAGCTGAATGCCCTTCAATAGATTTCAGAATAATACTGGTTAATGATACATTTTGATTACGATCCTTTTTCGGTATCCATTTGTGGTGAATGTGTCTAGTATATCGTTTTGAATTTAAAATATATTCAAGAGAGATAACTATTTTTATTTGACACAAGAAAGCGCATCTATATTAAACTCTTTACACAATGCAGATACAAATAGGGCTATAAATAAAACAGCCAGACAGTCCACAACTTTATCTGCCGGCGGCGTCGACTTCACAGCGGATCTTGCAGTGGATGGTAATTTCGAACAGTCTGGACCATCTAGGACTTGCAGCGCCACCCAGCCAGCACCGGCCGATAACAATCCACCTTTCTGGTTTGTAGATATGGACAACGTTACCAGGGTTGATTATGTGGTGGTTTATGGGAAAGCAGGTAAACTACAAAATAAGAAAGTGATGAAAGAATAATTTTCAAATCAACAGTTACTGGAAAAAAACACTATTATTGTAGTTTCATTTTTATTTTGTTGGTTCATGTGTAGACGTGTCTTTTCAAGAGGTTAAAAAGCTTATGAATATTTCTAAAGATATTTTTAGAAAACAATTAAGTTTTTAAGTCACGTTGTATCATCTAAATCATCAACATCAACGTTATCATTATCATCTTCATCATCAGTAACATCATATCACAATCGCCATCTTCATCATCATCGCCAACAACATTATTACAATGTCATAAAAATAACTTCACGTATCAATATCCTCACCATCATCGTCATCATCATCATGTCATCGTTATATTAATATCTTCACCATTATCGTCATCATCGGGTCATTATCAAGATTTCATCAACTTTATCATCATCAGCAGCAACAGCAGAAGCGCCAGCATCATCATGTTACAATAACATCACCATATCAATAGTATCACTATTATTGTCTTGTAAAAGTCACTTAACCCTTTTAACTTTTCATTTCGTTCACGTCAAATAATTCCCGATATTTCTGTCAAACTTATCAAAGGATGGCAAACCCCATTATTTCTACATGTATATTTATATATGTTACAGATACATCAGCCGAGTTGGAAGGTTTTCTTCTGTACCTTAGTAACTCAACCAACATCACTGGCCTGGATCCCATGTACAACAACACCGACGTACCGTATGACAATGGTGTTTTTAACGTCAGTTTTGGAAATGGCGTGACGGCACAGTTTATCTACATCACTTTAGAAGATGTTCGTACCCTGAGCCTGTGTGAAGTTCGTGTGTTTGGAGGTAAGTATCAACTGAACACATTGTTTTGAATTCATGCAATTGTCCGAAATATGTTAATTTAGTTTTGAATGATTTTCTTGTAAACTTTTATTAGCTTTAAAATAAGCTTGTCCACATCCTAGACTAACCAATACTGGTGTATTACACGGGAAATCTTGGCCTCCTGCTTCTGCAAAATGTAACTGTTACATTTTTTTGCATATTTTCGCGTCTGCATCTGAAATTCAACAATTTGCGACTTTCGAATTTAATAAACACATATACCCAACACAAGGGGAGTCAGCGGCCGAGTTGTTAAGGTTGTAGACTCCAAATCGCTAGCTCCACGCCGCTGTAGGTTTGAGTCCTGCCAGAGATTCTTTTATGTTAATAAGCTATCCAGCAAGCTTACGGAACGTCAGTTGTTCTACCCAGCTACCTGTTTGTGCTTGAAATAATGTTTAGGCTTTATTATGTGTGCAGGGAGGGCACACTATTAAATCAAGATTTAATTTCAAACAAAAACCCATTTGGTTTAGTTTACATAAATTGCTTCGCCACCCAACACCCTACCTCTTTCAACATTTGTAACATCATGGGTGTACTGAAACACATAGTAACAATGTCCGAAATGCTATACGAATTAGAATATTTCATTTTTTATGTAGGAAATGCTCATCTATGTGCGTATACACGTATAATTTGTATTTTAGATCACTAAAACAACATCTTTTATGTCTTAATTGGCTAAAGAATTTATAATACACGTATAAATTATTTTAATCAGAATGTCCAGACGGTACTTTTGGAGCCCAATGTCAAGGCACGTGCTATTGCGCAGACGGCAATCCATGTGATAAGACTTCCGGTGTATGTCCAGATGGGGGCTGTATTACAGGGTGGATTGGTGAACAGTGTAACGAAAGTATGTGAAGATACTGGACTCTTTTGTCCGCTCAATATATATTTCATATTTTTCAAAATAATAACCATTTAAAGCTTAACATCAAGATATTCTTTATTTTGTAAAATGAAATATTACGTCACCTAAAAAAAATCTACAAATATCTGAAAAAGGGTACATCCCTAAAAAATATTGAATGAGTCGATTCATAAGTGTCAGTGAAATGTTGAACATTTTCCACGACCACTAGCACCAGGGTAAAGCGGTTTTCAATCCTTCAAACACAACATGTATATATCTATATATATTAGAATAAATAATAGATTCCGAAGGAACAGAAAAATATATATTAACTCTGAGATCAAGTACAGGTCGCTTTAACAATTGCCAATAAAGCACTTGACGACCTGCTGTTGTGCAAAACCATACACAAAATGTTGTCACGAAAATTACTTCTCTTTTGAATGTAGTTCAACATATTTCCACTTGTTCTTTTTCTGTGTTCATGTCAGAATGAAGTAGAAAGTTTTCTTGGGTAATCATATATAAATGCTTGTTTCTAGTTGTCATCAGATGATTTGTAAAAAATATCTTGGTCTTCGAAATTGTATTACTGCGTATCAGAACTAATAATGTGCTAAATGATATCGCACCATTATTACTTTAAAGCAGAGAAAACGGAATGCCTCAGGAACGCCAAACACGACAAAATTGAAAATATTTGATTGAGCCTGTTTGATAAACACTTTAATTGGGGTAACTAGTGCCTTCTACATGTAGTACTCCGCCCTCAAGGGCACAAAAGTAGCTTTCGCTATATAGTACTCCGCCCTCAAAGGCACAAAAGTAGCTTTCGCTATATAGTACTCCGCCCTCAAAGGCACAAAAGTAGCTTTCGCTATATAGAACTCCGCCCTCAAAGGCACAAAAGTAGCTTTCGCTATATAGTACTCCGCCCTCAAAGGCACAAAGGTAGCTTTCGCTATATAGAACTCCGCCCTCAAAGGCACAAAAGTAGCTTTTTCGCTATATAGTACTCCGCCCTCAAAGGCACAAAGGTAGCTTTTTGCTATATAGTACTCCGCCCTCAAAGGCACAAAAGTAGCTTTCGCTATATAGTACTCCGCCCTCAAAAGGCACAAAAGTAGCTTTCGCTATATAGAACTCCGCCCTCAAAGGCACAAAAGTGGCTTTCGCTATATAGTACTTCGCCCTCAAAGGCACGAAAGTAGCTTTCGCTATATAGTACTCCGCCCTCAAAGGCACAAAGGTAGCTTTTGCTATATAGTACTCCGCCCTCAAAGGCACAAAAGTAGCTTTCGCTATATAGTACTCCGCCCTCAAAGGCACAAAAGGTAGCTTTCGCTATAATAGAACTCCGCCCTCAAAGGCACAAAAGTAGCTTTCGCTATATAGTACTTCGCCCTCAAAGGCACGAAAGTAGCTTTCGCTATATAGTACTCCGCCCTCAAAGGCACAAAGGTAGCTTTCGCTATATAGTACTCCGCCCTCAAAGGCACAAAGGTAGCTTTCGCTATATAGAACTCCGCCCTCAAAGGCACAAAAGTAGCTTTCGCTATATAGTACGAATCCTGGTCGTGTCACCAGGTTTTATTTTGAAGCACAAATTTACCTACTTGCAATTTCTGCCGCCAAAGAATTTTTAGCCGAAAGAAGGTCACTGCACAGCCGTCAATGAGCACCTGACGTTTAAGCCTTCACCATGTACTACTGGCTCAAGCCCCATAAGTACCCTCCCTCTTCGTCCCATCCTCCTTTTAAAAGCCAATCGCATCGGCTTCACTCCAGGCCGCTTTTAACGTTACTCTACGCTGTAGAAAAGTATGCGAACTAACGTCTTACACGTTGCATTGTTTCCGATGCTCGGTGACTCATTTTTATTAAAATTTAAATTCAAATGAAAATCAGATGTTTGATGAAAATGCATATGCTGTAGGCCTAATGAGTTTTGTTAAATTATCTGATTTTGTTTCAGCATGTCGCCAGGGCTTTTATGGAGATGCATGTTCAGGAATATGCGGAGCATGCGCAGACAACATGACGTGTCATCACGTCACTGGTTTATGTGACAACGGCTGTTCCGACGGCTGGTCAGGCGTCATGTGTAATACATGTAGGTATATTTATTGGTGAGAATAATCTCTCATAATTCAAGCTGTAAATTATTTTCAATGAACAGGACTTAATTTTGGTTGTCTTAATATCTTTTCAATATTTTCATATATTTCTTTTTTTTATCAATCATGTGCTTGTTTTATCATGTTAGTTTCAAACAGTACATAGGCGTAAGTCAAAAATGTAAATTGTAATTTAACATGTGTTTTTCACAGCTTGTGCACCGGGCAAGTATGGAAAGGAATGTAACTCTACATGTGGGAATTGTAAGAGTAATGCCGCATGTGATCACGAGACAGGGGCATGTACCGGATGTGCTGCAGGGTATCACGGAACTTTGTGTATGACAGGTAAAATTGTTTTTATTCCCGGCAAAAGATACTTTTTAGAAGGATTTTTTCCCCAAAATTTATTAATTTTTAAACCTACATGTAAAATAAAACAGTCTCCAACATATTCTGCTACTCTGATTCATAAAGCATTTTCATTTTGAAAAATATGATACCAAAATTTAATATGAAAATACATTGTAATCAATTGTTTAGGGTGTACAAACTCAAGTTTTGGTGAAGATTGTGCAGGAATATGCGGGAACTGCGTAAACAAGACCGAATGTGACGTCATAACCGGAAACTGTGACAGCGGCTGCGCTGACGGATATGTTGAACCATTATGTACAAAAGGTATGTTTAGTTTAAATTATCATTTTAACATTAAATTTGACTGAAATCTCGAAAATGATATCATGTCAGTCTATTTTTAGATCCACGCGAGGGGTTAATCTATTTTTAGACGGTAACTTAAACAGGCAAGATCACGTGAGGCATAATACTGATGCATCATATATGGCAATTTATATCATGTGAGATATAGCACACAGTTAGAACACGGCTACTAAACCCATACCGTAAGCACCATGGGTGCATCCATGCAAATACTTGGTCCTTCTATTGTGCGTTAAAAAACTTGGATAAATCATAAGTCGTGATTTGTTTATATAACAGTGACTTACATGTATTCGTTTATTTCAGTGCAAGCGATAGTTGGTGACGATTCTGATAGTGACAAAAACGTAGGTGCCATTGTTGGGGGAGTGATTGGTGGAGTAGCCGCTGTTATTCTTATTGGAGTTGTGTACAAACTCTGCAGTAATCGAGGGTATGATACTCTTTACTTGCTAATATCATGAATGGGTATATTTTTAACTATATTTATTGAAATACATATTTTGTTTGGCAAGTTTTTTAAAACATCCGACAAATGATAAGACTAGTAATGTTTACAAAAAAGTTAATAAGGGGCACAAATCCAAAAATATAGCTTTCCGAATAATGACCATTGTCTCTGAACTTTGTGGTGACAAACAAGTTTTAAAAGGTTCATTTTGATATCAAATTATTCTATAAAATAATTAAAATTGACACGCACAAAAAAACTAAGTTAAAAAGGGGGATAAATCTAATGTATTGCTCCAAGGATTATGCTCCTTGTTTTACAACTGCCCCTTGTCATGATGATCAAGTGTTCCATGTTACATATTTAAATTTTTCATAGTTTAAAAATCTTTGTATTTAAAAAAGGGGCACAACTCAACTGTCCGATGAATTCTCCTTGTCAACCAACTGTGCCTTTTCAAGATTAACAAGTATTCCAAGTTTTATGTTTCAAGTTTTGAAATTATTAGTCGCCGGTAGAAACCGGCGACTATATTTGTTACAGTTTAATATTATATCTATGGTAGGAGAAGGCCTTAAAATCTGAATATAAAAGCAAATCAATTACTGAACAATTATGGACCACAATATATATAATTAATTATGTTTCATAATCTTAAAAAATCAAAAATAAAGTACCGTTGCTAAATGAAATGAAATATACAAAAATTGACATCTTAAAAAGCAACATTACAATTTTCATAAAATGAATTAATAACGTATCCCTATGGACCAGTCATTGAATTTAGGGATACTTTTACTTTTTTTCTAAGTGTCAAGCGTTGCTATTTTATGATTGATAAATCATGAATGATATTTGAAACGACACATTTAAATTATTTGGTTGTTTACATCTTATGAGACCTGTTATATTTCATAATTTTGTCTAATTATAAACATATTCTCCCTGTTCTATTGTAAGAATCACGTGACTACACGTTGTATGTTAGTGTTATAGAATCTATTAATAGTAACAGATTGCTGACAAGTAGAGATTTTGATGCTAAAGCATCAAGTCGCCGGATAGAAAAATGATTGTATTATCATAAATATAAGAAAATATAAGTTTAATGGTTCAAGTATAAAAATAAGAGGAACAATGAGTTGAGTAATGTTTGCCACTGAGGCTTGTAAGGCAAGTGCTATGCTGGTAATTCTTCTTGTAATTATACTTTATACATATACTGTTGTACCATACATTGAAATCCGTATAGGTTACTAGTTCAGATTCAGATAATTACCGACAAATAATTACCGATCATCGAATATTTGCAAAGTGACTATGAAAATATATATGTTTAATTATTACATGAAACAATACAATTTTACTGTAAAAGTGTTGTACATCATTATTATGTGCTATAGAAAAAATATATAATTTAGTTGAAATCAATACACGCATTCCAATCGTTACATACGATATATAAAATAAACGTTTAACTGCCTTTCAGTGCGATAAACTATCAACACAAAGATAGTTTATTATTTTTTTCTATGTATCTAATACGATTCCGGACCCCTGACGTCATATCGTTTTGGAAACCTGCGTGACGGAAACCGACGGAATATACCAAAATCAACGATTACTATTATATATTTCAATAATGTGCCTCTTAAGCATAACATTATTTTGGGATGTTCAACCTAAACTAAACAATTGAACTTTCTTGTCGAATGTTTGACAGAAAGGGCCAAGTTAAACCCTTTACCAAGAAGAAAGGAAAAGGTTTTGAAAATGTATTTTTAAAGTAAACAGGTTTCTCTAATGATATGAAGTATGAACCTGATTAATGAAAAATAACTTATGTAATTATCTGTACAAAATTACAATGATTTACATCTTATCAGTTACCACCATTAACAAATTACCTGTCTTATCAGCAATCTGTTACTATTAATAGATTTTATAACGATATACAACATATATAAACATGTAGTCACGTGATTCTTACGAAAGACCAGGGAGCATTTGTTTATAATTAGATAAAATAATGTAATATAAAAGGTCTCATAAAAATAAACAACCAAATAATTCTAAAGAGTCATTTCAAATATCATTCATGATTTATTTATTATAAAATAGCAATGCTTGACACATAGAAAAAAGTAATAGTATCTCTAATATTCAATGACTGATCCTTGGGGATACGTTATTGATTCATTTTATGATAATTGTAATGTTGCTTTTGAAGACGTCAATATGTGCATATTTCATTTCACTGAGCATAGTTATCATATGTTTGATTTTTTGTGATTACTGAAAAATAATTGTTGTCTTTAATTGTTCAATGATTGATATGCTTTTATTTTCAGATTTTAAGGACTTCTCCTACCATAGGTATAATATTAAACTATTACAAATATAGTCGCCGGTTTCTACCGGCGACTAATAAGATATACAAGTTACTTGTGATTAGTTGGAAAGCGTCTGGTTAGATGTAATGTATAAATAATTACAAAGTTATCTTTCATTAATCAGTTTCATCTGTTCTATTGTAAGAATCACGTGACTACACGTTGTATGTTAGTGTTATAGAATCTATTAATAGTAACAGATTGCTGATAAGATATACAAGTTACTTGTGATTAGTTGGAAAGCGTCTGGTTAGATGTAATGTATAAATAATTACAAAGTTATCTTTCATTAATCAGTTTCATATTTTATAGTATTAGAAAGGTCTGTATACAATGTACTCATAATTTGCACATCAAAGAATTAAATAAGTTTTCAAAACCTTTTTATTTTTTCTTGGTAAAGGGTTAAACTTGGCCCTTTCTGTCAACGTTCAATAGTTTAGTTTAGGTTGAACATCACAAAATAGATTTATGCGAAAGAGGCACATTTATTGAAATAGTGGTAATCGTCGTTTTCGTTATATTCCGTCGATTTCCGTCGCGCAGGTTACCAAAACGGTATGACGGATAAATTAGATACATAATAAAGAAAACTAATGAAATATCTTTTTGTTAATATTTTATCGAACTGAAAGGCAAGTAAACGTTTACTATATCGTATGTAATGACAAGAATATTGATTTCAACTAAATAATTAATTTTTTGATAGCGCAAAAAAATACGCAGATACCACTTTTACGGTAGTATCGCATTGTTTCATGCAATAATTAAAACATATATATTTTCAAATATTATATGGCCGTTGGTTATTTGGTGTATCGGATTCTGAACTATACAAAACGGATTTCGATGTCTGGTAGAACGGTATATGTATAAGATAGAATTACAAGTAGAATTACAAGAATATCACTCGCATTACAAAATTAATCAAAATTATGAAATAAAAAAATGCTAGAAATGAAACACGATTTATCAACTTATGTTTCATATAGTTAACAGAAATAATAAAAAAGACAGTTTTATGAAAACTACAAAAGGGATTTTCAAAGATTCGAACTTGACCTACTAGGTCACAACTTCGTCCTACTTACCGCCTGTACGCCATCGAGCAATATTAATTGATTTAATATCGAGATCTATACTATCAATAAAATCTTTAGCATAAATCATAATAAGTTACATAAACTAACGAAACACCTCCCGAAAATTAATGAGTCTCAGGTCAATATTGCCAGACAATACTTGCTTAATAATCATAGCAGTTCCTTGACAATAATGCTAAGCAAGTTTGCTTTACATATGATGTTTTATTGTGAATAAACAATTACACAACATATTGTTCCTCTTTTCTTTATACTTGAACTGATATTTTCTTATATTTATGATAATACAGTCATTTTCTATCCGGCGACTTGATGCTTTAGCATCAAAATCTCTACTTGTTCTAATTGATAGAAATCTGGAGAAAGAGTGATCCCTCGGAAACATTTATAACAACAAAATTACATGAAAAATGCAGACTCGGTTTGATTAAGTCTGTACATTTTGACTAAGACATTTTAAGTTAAAAGGGGGTACAACTCCAAAAATATAGCTTTCAGATAAATGCCTCTTGACTTACGAATGCCTCTTGTTATGAAGAGCGAGCATTCTAAGTTTCATATTGATACCTTTAAAATTGTTTGAGGAATGGCCTACATTAAAGTTTTGTTTTACAAATCGAGAGCTACGGCGACGTCGCAGCGATCATACTAGCTTGACTCTTCTTCAAAACAGTGACGTAAAACAGTGACGTTACGTCACTGTGATCATTAAAGCTCGACAGAGGAACTTAAAAATTAGTATCAAAAAGTCATGTAGTGCTATGCATTTTGTTGAAATGACAAAAATAGAAAAAAAACACACGTTTTTCATCTCTTTTAGGAAGCTTCCAAGAACAGAAAAAGCCATGTCATATTACCCTTCGATGAGATCGGCAGAGGCCGCCTCGGCAACTAACACTGGCTTCAACTCGATGGAAGGCAAGTTCTTTTATATTAACCATTAAATTGATATTATGCCCATCCAAGGGTATATAGTGACTGAATCGGTGAAAGTCAAAATAAGTTTACATTTTGTTATAATTCCTTTAATTTTTTTCAATTAACTTCGCATGAACGATTATACTTCTAAAACAGTTTCCAAGCATCCAAGAATATGCTAAATATGAACTGTTATTATTATTATTAATTCATTTTTTCTTTTTTATCAGGTTCTGTTAACTATTACAATTTCGACAGCAACACTAGGTTATGAGGACGAAGAAAATATGAAGAAATACAAGTCTTAGGAGACTTATAGGTTGGTTCTAACGGAAATTGTGCACAAAGAAAAGGAATGTTATTACAGAAGAAGAGAAAACACTTTCAAAGATATAATTATCTAAACCAAAAAGTAATTTCAGTTAAAGTGGCATTATGCCCGTTCAAGTTTAAATGGTCAGTGAACAGGTAAAAATAAAAGTATAAAAGTGACTTGAAGTTTTATCATAATCGTGATCAATTCTATATTTTACTATGAAAAACTAATTAATAGTCCACGTGACAAACGGAAATTTCTATAATAAATATCGTTCAGAATACATGTATATTGGTAACACTCAATTCTTAAAAAGAGAGGGGGCAGTCTTTTTATGATTTAAGAAGTTTTCATATAAACATTTTGAAATATGTAACTAATTTAACTTTAGTTGACAGCGAAAAAAATGAGCATAATGTCACTTTAACAGATACAAATGAGCCACGTCACGACAAAACCAACATAGTGCGTTTGCGACCAGCATGGATCCAGACCAGCCTGCGCATTCTGATCAGGATCCATGCTGTTCGCTTACAGACCCTATAACAAGTAAAGAAACCGATAGCGCAGGCTGGTCTGGATCCATGCTGGTCGCAAACCCATTATGTTGGTTTTGTCGTGACGCGGCACAAATGTTCATCATACACATGCATTGTTAACAAATTTGTTGCCTTGTAGAAACGTTCAAACGGCTAAAATTTTTCATATTTGTACTATATAAAAATTATACAATTTACCATACAAATAACTTACTTGCAAATAATCATAACATTATTAGAATGTTTATATAGCAAAAACATACGAAAAGTCATAAAAACAAACATGACTTAAAGGTGATTAAAGGGACTCCACTGACGTTTTTCGACATGAGTGGACTGAAGATATTTGTCCGAGATTTTTGTACTGATTAATGTAGGTCTATACCGATAATTTTAAGCTCATTCTCTGGCCTCTTTTTTCGGAAATAATCATTTTCATTGAGAAAAATTACCCGAATGTTGCAAGTGAACGCTCTTCGCTCATATCCGGCTAAGAATTGTACAAAAAATCGATTTTTAATTTAATTCCAAGTTTATTTCTTTTCCTTTTAAAATTATATTTGTAAGCTTTTGAAATTTTGTGATTTAGGCATTTGGACTTCAGCGGAGTTCCTTTAAGACTCAAAAATGCTTATATTTTTATCATTAAAATATTTTTTATTTCTTTATTGTTTTCAAAACGTAACTTATTGGCCATATAGCTGAGCGATCTTTTGTGTATTTAATTTTGCATTTTAGAATTAAGTACAGTTATAGTGATTTAGTATTTAGTATGGCAGCCAAAATGCTACTTTGTTTACGTTTTGTTACCTTACTTTGTTTACATTTTGTTACCTTTAACACAAATTATATTACATTCTATGTTATTTTTATAAGATTATAAGCATCTTATATAAAAAATGAGCCGTGTCATGACAAAACAAACATAATGGGTTTGCAACAAGCATGGATCCAGACCAGCCTGCGCATCCGCGCAGTCTGATCAGGATCCATGCTGTTCGCTATCAGTTTCTCTACTTGTTATAGGGTTTGTAAGCGAACAACATGGATCCTGATCAGACTGCGCGGATGCGCAGGCTGGTCTGGATCCATGCTGGTCGCAAACCCATTATGTTGGTTTTGTCATGACGCGGCTCATATTGTAAATTTATTGTTACAAGATTATCAAACGCTTGCTTGCCCTTTCCACAGAAAGAAAAAGTATTAACTTCTGAGGCTTAGTGTACCTTTAAGAATTGTAATTTTGGGGTCATTCTTAATTCAATAAATTGTGATAAAATGGATAGCGTGTCAGTTTATTAATTCTTTTAAATTTTTTTCTATACATACATTATTTTGTATATTTTTGTAATAATTTAGTATGAAAGTCAGTAGAATTGTTGTGACCAAAAGTTTACCATAAAACTATTTTTATATATTTTTGTAAATCATGAAGTGTATGTAATAAATCTTGATACTCATATAGTACTTGTGTTGTATATGGGGGTTAGTGATTGTTTATACTTTTCCCAGGGATTGGTGATTTTATTCCGGCGGCGGTGTGGGGCTTACTCAATTTGTATATACCTGCAAAGAAACCAAACTTCATTTGCATCAACTGCAAAGAAACTAAACTCATTTGATATACATCTATTACGAAACTAAACTCAGTTTGTATTAACTGCAAAGAAATGTTTATTAACGTAAAAAACTCAACTCAACTTGTATACACCTGCAAAGAAACTAAACACAATTTGCATACATCTGCAAAGAAACTAAACTTAATTTTCATTCATTTGCAAAGAAACTAAACTCTATTTTTATACATCTACACGGAAACTAATTAATTTGCAAACATCTGCTAAGAAACTTACCTTAATTTGCATACATCTGCAAAGAAACTAAACTTAATTTTCATTCATCTGCAAAGAAACTTAACCCTATTTTCATACATCTGCAAAGAAACTCACCTTTATTTGCATACATCTGCAAAGTATTTTACCTTTAGTTACATACATCTGCAAAGAAACTGACCTTAATTTGCATTGCAAAGAAACTAATTAAACAACTTTTGTAAGCATCTATAAAGACACCAATCTCAATTCGTATAAACTGCAAAGAAACTTTACGCCAATTGTTTTTTGGGTTTTTTATTTTGATGATTATTTATTTATTCATTCAAACCGATTACATCAATGCCATTTTGGTTCCGTTTTCTATGAAACTGTCTTAAGCAGATGAGAAGTTTTGGACGCATAATTGAATATTTTTGATCGAATAATACATGTATATGTTTCAGTCACTTAACTAATTATATAAATTCAAATATGCCGTTTTCATTTCTTTTGTGCTGTAGGCAAAATCGAAATACCTTTCATAAACATAAAACATTTTAAAATGATTTAAATTACCTTATACTTTGCCGCAATTTGATACGTTTGCATTATAAAGTCAAAGCATAACTGTAGTAGGTATTGCATGTATATGGAAACCATTTTGTACCAGGAAATGTCAAGTTATTTAATTTGTTGATCTGTCTAGAAAAGACGTTTAATTTAATTGACATGTTTTATCGTGTGCTCTACATTGTCCGACTACTTAATTAATAAATTTAAAAAAAAACACCTAGTTATGGGTTTTCGAACTTATTTCAAAATTGTATTACTAAGTGTTTTTATTGTGTTCTCATTAAATTTATATCTATGGATATTTTTCCCTAAATCGTCAAAACTTGGACATTTAGATATTCCAGAAAAAGCATTTGAACAATCAAATACAGGTAAAAATTCAGACAATCGGGTTAACGAGCTGCTTGACATAAGCGCTTTAAAGAAGATAAACGCATATCGGAAATCTACGTCGCATATTAGACTAAACCCGGAAGTAAAGCAATTGTTAAACATTCGCTTTTCACACTTGAAACCACCATCTTTAGTCGACATGGCATTCACTCTGGAAAATAAAGCTATTTGCAAAACGAATAATTTAACTGTTGTGATTATGATACTTTCTGCGCCGGAGCATACGGAACACAGGAGAGCAATTCGTGAAACATGGGCAAATTCTTCCCGATCTTCATCAATGCCGGAAGTCCGGACTATTTTTGTCATTGGACGTTTGAAACATTGGACAACGCAATCGCTTATTGAGAAGGAGTTTGCGGATTATGGGGATATTTTACAAGGCAATTTTGAAGACAATTACAAAAACCTTTCTTTGAATAGTCTCTATGGGTATCAGTGGTTGAATCAGAACTGCGCTAACGCCGAATTCGTAATAAAGTCCGACGATGACATTGTAATAAATTTTAACAAATTGTTCCATGCCATTAATAACAGACTTATGTTTGTTAACAGGACCAGAGAGGTCGCCTGCTTTCGTGTGAGATCTACAGTACATAGAGAGAGACATTCTAAATATTTTGTTGGCGAACATGTTTTTATGAATGTAGATTATACTCCAGCATATTGCGAAGGAAAATTTGTCTTGATGACAATGGACTTGATACCTGATTTGCTAGAATCAGCTTTTTTAACACCATTATTTTGGCTAGAAGATATTTACTGGTACGGTTTAGTGATGTCTAGTGTTCCAGATATAACATACACTAGGATTATATGGGGCGAGAAAATTGAACCTAAAGCAGAAAAAGCAATAGAATGTTTGCAAAAAAGGGACAATTGTAAGTTTTTCATTACCTGGCCGAGAAATGTAGCAGAAATAAGAAAAATATATACTCTTATGGAAAAAGATAATTCTACATATACAGAGACGGACTTTATAAATGCTACAATAGAGCAGGAGATATTTCTTGTTTCATAATCACATCGATGATTGAATAATATTTTAAAATTAACCTAAACGAATTTTAGCACCTCAAATAGATTTTTCCTTATGTACATCCCCGGTGATACATGGAAACTGTGATGCACTTTTGTCGTTTTCAATTTCACGATCACCACTGCAATTAGCAGCCAGGCCAAAGGAATGCATAACACATGTTGAAAAGAAAAATGTTTTAGAATTGTTTTATTTTAATGATATTCTCTTTATATCATATTTTCTTTATTTGTGTTTGTTTCATTTTTAAAATATAACGATCCGTACCGCATAACTGATTATAATTCAAATTGGTTGGAAGGGAGATAACTTTTTTGCCGTTGTCATAATAATCAAGAGAAGTAATATCGTCCAGATTCCCGTCATTCATATTGCGCTCATATTTATCTCAAACTTTTTAAGGATTTCGTTTCAATGCAAACGATGTGTAAATCTAAATATAAATTTAATATCTTTTTCTGGAAATGTTGAAAGAAAATATATGCACGCTTTTTAATAATGTAAATGCCAAAGGATCATTTGTTTCGATTTCAATTAAATTCGGATATTTTGAAATAGAGATATTTTGATATGAGAGATATGTTTAATATGTAAAATATCTGTCGTGAAGGAGACCTTAAGACACCAAAATTTATTTTATTTATTGAAATCAGGCCATACATGGAAATTGTATGCAAACTACTTTTTTTTTTCTCGGGCCAAAAACTACTTTTTTATTTTTCGGGACAACTCTCGTTGAGTATAGAATTGAGATTTAGATAGAAGATAGACAGACAGGCAAACATACAGTTATTATCTGGTAAAAATACATGTTATAAAGCAAAAACAAATTCAATGTCAACATCAAGAAATAAATGTGAACATGAAACTATATGTGTTGATGATATACATTTTGTACCAAGGATAACACAAAAAGAAGGCAAAAAGCCGACTTATTTCCATTGTGGTCCTTAGACTGTCAAAAATTATTTTACACAAAACATATTTAAACTAAATGCATATATATTTACATTAAAGTATCAATTTTTATGCTACATTTGTATTTAAGGTTCACATGTATATTATTATATAGATAATGTGAATTCTTCATAAAAATGTCATGTTGTGTGAGAGATGAAGAAAATGTTGTCTTTAAATTATATAGGTAAAACACAAAAACACTGGATGAAAGTTGTTTTGATGGTAAAAAAATGTTCAACCCCGATGGCAACGTAATTTTGATTCATATCGCTTGTTTGTTAAGGAAGTGCTCTGTTAATTATACACTATCTTAAATGTCGATGTCCTTAAATCAAATGTTTATATGAACATAAACCTATTAGTAGAAAAGATAACTTGTAAATAAACACAGTATTGAAGACGAACTTCATATAATATTGAAATGTCCATTTTATATTATCATTCCACGCCTTGTAAAAAATGAACTTTTAGCGTTTAAACCACGTGATGTTCCAATACAAATGATTTTGGATCAAATAGTATCAATTGAGCCTCGTTTATATATCCAGAGTACACAATATTCATATCAAATGCATATCACATCTATTATAGCGACGTTTTCAGTTTAAGAGTCCAAAATATGTTTATTATATATCCAGAGTACACAATATTCATATTAAATGCATATCACATCTACATAAGCGACGTTTTCAGTTATAGAGTCCAAAATATGTATATCAAATACATATCGTATTTCATCCAGCCTAATTACCATTTTCAAGGTAAAACAATAAATCATATCAATTCTTAATTGTATTTGAAGTTTCAAAATTTCAAAAAAGTGAAATAAATATTGATTATATAGGACTCGAACACAGCTCTAACTCGGCTAGCGCCTCGTCCAATATCGAATTTTTCAACTGTGTACAAGCCAAATAGAACTCAACAATGTATAATAACCTCATAATATTACATAAGTAATTGGTGGCAAGTCAATTTTGTAAATCCAAACTTTACTTATCAGTTAGTTTACTTTTAATACATGTATATTCATTCTTATCTTGGTTGGGGTGAAAATGCGAAGCTGATTTAAACCACTTTGGAAATCCCTTCATGGAACTTACCAGTGGTGCCGATTTCAAATGAGGAAACATGGTTCTGGTCTCATTAGTCCTTAGGTTGAGAGGTACCCACCCTAACCACTATACAACTCGTCACGTCATTCAACCTACGCTCGCCACTCGCCAGGACTATGACAGTTACAAGTTTATTTTGCTGGTATCTCATACAAGTTTATTTTGCTGGTATCTCATACAAGTTTATTTTGCTGGTATCTCATACTAGATCTTATACATTGAAAAAAAAATTATTTTTGTTTTTGTTGTTGTTGTTGTTGTCGTCGTCGTTTTTTGTGTTTTTTTTTGTTTTTTGGACGAAGTCCGTCTGAGACAGGTTTGATTTCCTGTAAAACTTACAGGGAAGTACTGAATACTGGAAGGATTTTCATTGGTCATTTTTAACTTACAATCTCATTGATCATTCTAAAATTAGTATAACAATCTGAAACGTATATAGAAATAGAATCAGAGCGCAGCAGATAGTGACTTTTGTATCAGCGTCATTAGCCTTTTTATTGAGATATCAACTGTTAAAGGGACGTAATCGCCATTTACATTAGGTTCTGAATGAACGTGGTCAACGGGCGATAAGCGGATTTGTTTTCATGTTATTCTTGTGGGAATGTATAGAACTCGGAGAACACTTTGCTCCAAAATGTTCAACGTTGATTCTTTTGGTGATTTGTCTGAGATATACTGCCTTACGTATCCATTATGACAGATCAATTATGTTAGCAGTGAATAATAATGTCTACTTTTATAGTATTGATTCTGGTGATGAATCATATGTATGATGATGATGATGATGATGATGATGATGATGATGATGATGATGATGATGATGATGATGATGATGATGATGATTATGATGATCAATGTACACAACAAATCATGAGTGATCTCTGCTAGTGATAAAAGTTATGTCAATAAAACAGATAAGAAAACACATATGTTACTAGTTCGACAACATTACCATAAGATTGCTTTCGCGAATTCATATGACAAAATTTTTGTCGTCTGCATTTTTTTTTTATATATTGTTCATTTGTTGTTCTCACACAAAGACATGAGTTTTGCCATGACAAAATATACTTGTTTCTATTACTTCGACAAATCCAATTTCTGCACAAATGTAACGGAAATTTAGATGTGCACATTTTTGAAAGGAACGGCTGCAACTGGTTGTGAAACAATAGTCATAGTGACGGCAATACTTCACCGATTATTATATGCCATGTCTTGTTAGAAAGCTAATACCCCCTGTGTTAAGAATATATGCGATTTATTGCAATCGAGCTCAAATGACTGTCACAAAGTGTATGTTATAAACATTCGCGTTTTCGTGTGTATTTCAACGTAAATTTAGATGCGAACATTTTTGCAAGGAACAGCTGCTAATACAATGATCACTGAGACACAAATGGTTCGCCGAAAATTATATGTTGTGTCTTCTATAACATCTAAGATCTTCTGCTTTAAGAATGACTGCAATTCATTGCAATCGGACACAAATCAATGTCACAAAAAGTGAGCTACTAGTATTTCGTGTGTGTATTTGTAAATCTGAGTAGAAAATCTGTTTCATCAAAAACAGCCAGTTATAGCCAAATATTCAATATTGCACTGAAATGTAAATCCAGTGGGATCACTAACAAAGTCAGTTCATCGTAAAGTATGTTACTTAATGCACACGTCACGTTGTAAGAGACGTTGTCCGCAATGGAATTTCGAGCTCTGCGCTGCTGACATGCGTTTACAAACTACAGACAGTAGCTTTTTAAAGATTCTTCTTGATTATATTATCTTTTTTGTGGTTGTTGTTTTGTTTTTTATTTTGTTTGGTATTTTTATATTTATTTTGGTATGTTTTAAGTCAAGGCTACGTTGTCAACGTCAAATGGTTTTCTAGAGTTTTCCTGGCAAAAAAAAGACTTGAGGTGTCTCATCGTGCATTGTTAATGAGCCGTGCCATGACAAAACCAACATAATGCGTTTGCGACCAGCATGGATCCAGACCAGCCTGCGCATCCGCTGGTTTTGTCATGGCACGGCTTATTTGGGGTGTCTTCTGCTCTGGCACTAGAAGACACCAGAGTTGAACCGCCGACCTTCCGTAACCTTGCTAGTTAGCTTCCTCACATAATAGAATCATTTAAATATCATATATGCTTGTAAGATTTATCATTGCTTAGTTGAAACAGTGTTTATTTTGCTGTCATATCCGTAAATTTACAGTTTACAATATAAGCAATATAACATGGGAGACAAAGGTTTAGGTTTCTGCTAAACACCGCGTGAGACTGTTACAGTTACAGGTGTCCAATAACAAGAGTCCAAACTAGTCGCCCTGTCCAAGTGAAAAAGCGAAAACTTCAAACTGAACTTTGAGGCTGCCGATGATGACAGTCTAAATAAATGCTCTAAAAGTGCCTAATATTTTGACAGAAAATCTTAATCACTCCTTTATTAATTTCTCTATTCTAAGTGTGCTTTTTCTAAAAATTACTTTTATTTTTAAAATTTCTCAAGATTGAAATGTTTTAGTTAGTTCTCCTTACAGGGTCTTTCTAAACAGAAGTGTTAATGCCATAAAAGAAGAAAATACCTTCCGATTCAGACTAAAAAATTGTTGGAAAACCAAATTAGGACTTATAACACTAGTATTATTAGTTTCTTATCTTACGGGTTAGTTTCTTTACAGATTATATAAATTTGTTCCTTGAAAAAATCTCCTAATTAGTTATAAAAGCCTATGTTACTCCTAATTCAGAGATATATGAATAACCTAATTAGCACTTTCTTACTATCAACAAGGAGTTAAAAAATGGGTATTTGGAGACATTATTAACTAATTAGGAGTTTTAACTGATATTTTAGGAGGAAAAAACTTTGAATGTCTTACTTAAGAGTTTTAAAAACTTATTA